TTGAAACCATGTGACATTTGCTCTTTTAATGAAGACAATGTCACGACAGATTTAAGTCGGCCTCCCATTCCAGTGGCGTGGGCGTCACGGTGTTCTCATTCACAGGAGTTCCACTCCGAACTTTTTCATCCAGAAAGATCAATCGAATCTGAAAACGATTACGAATCTCCAGCTTCTGCTCTGCTGTTGTGCACCTGAGATAAACAAATTATTGATTTTGCTTCCTCTATTTGACAGAAAAACAGCAATGGAAGTGGAACGTTGTTTACATGCAGCACGGGGTTCTGCTTGGCCTCCTGGATTCTGGCTCTGAGCCAGTGTTCCATTGCCACCTTGGCTGTGAGTTCCACTTGAAACTGCCTCAGAAAAACTTTCTGCTTGGGTTTTGGGGGGGACAATTTTGCCAGGGATCCGGCGACCAGCACGTGAGCAAACGAAACCCCTAAGCCCAAGTGGAACGTTGTTGCTGTTTTCAAGTAGCACGTAGAAAAACCCAAAAATGCTCGAGACCCAATCAAATTCCAAAATTTAGGCGGATTTGCCAAACACGGTTCCACTTGGGCATGTGCACACCCGCCACCCGCCAACAAGCAGACAGGGAGCAAAGTCCCATGCAGCACGGGAAACCCAAACGAAAAACGACGACAAAACCGAACAGAACCTTAATTTCAAGCAGCACGTTGCCAGCCCGGGACCCTGGTCCAGCCATTGTGAACCAAGCAGAACGATGGATTTGTCGAAGCAGAACGATTTTTTTTTTCACAGATGTCCGGCAACCACACCAATACTAAACTTGAGTAGTTAGGGTTTAGGGGTTTGGGTTTAGGATTTGGGGCAAAACTGTTCAAATCCGATTCCTGGCAAAGTAATGAATCACTTGCTTCCAAGAGGCTACAATTTCTCGAGCACCATGTCGAGGCAAACGAATGAATCACAGAACACAGTTCTTCTACGAAAGTAAGTAAGTATAATGGTAGCTGTGCATAGCAATCTTTCTGACTCTAGAATCACAAAGAATAATAAATAAATGCAAGAATATGAAACTTCATTGAGTAGAAATAAATACAATCCCTGGAAAAGTGCTTCCTTGCAATAGAAACTACATCCCATAGTTGAAAAACCTCGAGCCACGGGTTGGCAACCATCATGGCGGCCGTAGCTGTGCTCTGCTCTAATGTCTCAGAGAAGCCAGCAGATTGCAGAAGCGAAACTTTCTTTTTCATATTTAACAGAAACCAGTGCATTCTTTAACTATCATGCCTCTTTTGCTAGACATATCAGACCTAGGCTCCTTTCACAAACTTGCATTAGTGGAAAAGGTAGAATGTGCATATATTGCAAAGTTCGTAATTTAGTATCAGTATGACAGAGGGTTATATAGGGTTTAGTTGGGTTATTAGTCACTCAGTTAGCAACACATGATAGCTGAACAATTTCTCCCAGCTGTACTGCGGAGGTCAAGTACAGATGCCACCCAAGTCGTGCATCATGGCACAGGCGAAGAGATAATATCATAAGAGTCAATTGGCCATCTCAGCCACTTCCTTGGTTGAATCGAAACACAAATAACAAAAATAAAAAACGGTGACTTACAGAACATTCTTTAATAGGCCAAGAATCCGGTGCCATTGCAATATCTGCAGGTTGTGACACTTGCTCCTGGCAAGCAAAACATTTTGGGGAACAATGTGTCCTAAACAACACTTGTATTTGTGTAGGCGAGTCCTTCATTGCGTCCGGCCATGTTCTCAAAAATTTCTTGCCCTTCAGAGTCAGCCTGCTTGCAGAAGCACGAGCTGTCTGGCCCAATGCATCCACCAGGTTGCCTCAGGAAAACAACGAAGCACACAAAGAACAAGGCAAGCTGAGCAAGAAACACTATTTCAGCGAGAAGCCTTCCAGTTCGGAGAAAGCTTCGGCAGCCTCCGTCATTGTGAAGAGCTGCTCGGAAAACAGAATCTCGACCAAGTGAGGCAAATCATGCCTTGGCTATCAATTAGCACAAAAACGGCAAAAGAGCAAGCAACACTGCCGTGTGGTTTCAGCAGCAGCCAAGATACTTGCAGGGACCGTGCCCCAGCAGGTCTTGCAACGGTTTATCAAGCTTTGCCAGCATTGCAGCGAAAGTGCCAGCAATATCATCATCATCATTGGTTGGCTCAGGCGGGCTGGCTTTGGCAGCTGCAGCATGCAGCGGTGCACCTACCCTGGAGTCCTGCTCCTGCTCTTCTTGCTCCTCCTCGTCCTCATCTTCATCATCATCATCATCATCCTGCTCATCACAATCCATTTCTTTCTCGGGGGTCTTGGCTCTCTTGTCTTGGTCTTTGGAGGAAGGGGTCTTCTTTTTCTTGGCAGACCGAGGTCGTTTGGGCTTGGCTGGCGTCTGGTTCTTGCGTGCAAAACGACCTCGGAAAAGGTCGTCATCCTTCTCATCACTCTCGTTGCTCTCCATGCTAGCAAGATCTTCACTTCTTGCTTCTGTTTCAGTCTTCGTCGGATTCGTGGAGCGGGAGCGGTGGGGCCTGAGGAGAAGTCCAGCTTTCGAGGGGTGATTCTCGGGAATCGTCTTCTTTTCGAAAAGCGAGGACTGTGTTTGGCAATTTTGCCTTTCTTGGGAGACTTGTTGCCTTCTCTTTGCCCGTCAGCAGCCAGGGCCTTCATGTCCAGCTCGGCTTCCTGCCATGCACAGGACATGCAATGAAGGAACACAGGAAAGAAGCACACCATATGGATGCAGGCACTGTTTCCTATGGATGCAGGCACTGCTTCTTATTTTCTGCAAGAAAGGAGCTCGGCCAAACCTGTCATGTGTAGCATTGGCCCCTGCTTTCAGGTTTTGACAGAGGCTGGCACTTTGATTCGTGCGTGAGACATGGACATCACTGGTACCAATACTTGTTGTAGTAGAGACCTGTCGAACGGTCCACCTGCCATTGCCCACCACGAGGTCGGGCCTTGGGTGTGGCCTGCATTGTCTGACTTGACCCAGCTGCCGTCGTTGCGATCGACTCCGGAGGAGTTGTTGTAGCAGTCAACACCGGAGGCGGCGGGGGCCTGAGACTTGCATGGAAAATTCTTTCTCAGAATGGAAAAAAAAAGAACGAATTATTGAATATAATGTGAACCAATGGACCAATGCATACTGGAATGTCGACTAGAAACATGGGGTCTTGCTTGGGTTCAGGGCAAGAACTGGCCGGACATGATGCTTTTGGTGGCTGCGGGGCATTCTCCTCCTGAACTGTGCCCTTGCAAGGTTTCTTCTCCACCGGCTGCATTCCCTGCTCCGGCTTCTTTCTCTTGTGATCGGGGTTGTTCTCCTCTTGAATGAAGCGGCAAAAGAACTCCAGCTTCTGGCCTGCGTCCAAGCTCAGCGAACCCACTCTTTTGAGCGGACCCACTTGTTTCGGCGGCCCCTTGGAAACCGGTTTCGGTGGGTCCGGGTGTTGCCCAGGCACAGCAGAAGATGCTGTTGCATCCACTGACTCAGCTTTTGCCTCAACTTGGGGTGGCTTGCTCTCGTTGCCAACACCCTCTGAGGAAACGGGGGCAGTAGGAATCATTCTCGCTGATTCTTGCACAAGGTGTTGCTGCAAACGTCTTTGGGACTCGTTTGCTTGCATCTGCAGCATGATTGTGGTAAGCTGCGGGTTCGGACTCGGATCATTCATACCAGCAGGAGCAGGCTGCGACATGCGGGCCAGCGAGGAGATCAAAGTTTGCAGCAATGCATCCGGGGACAAAGGAGCTTGAGGAGGACCCGACATGGCACTGGACTTTGCATGACAAATGCTCTAGCCCAGCCTGCGACAATGGAGACAGTGGCAAAAGTTTCCATGCCAGGCAGTGGCACAAGAGCTTGCATGCACTAATGCTTCGTGCCTGCAGAATCTGAGAAAGAGGATACTAATGCCACAGCTAGCCCAAGATTCTTAATTAATTGAATGCTGCGAAAGAGAACAGAGTCCTGGGCCTAACCCTAATAATCCTAAACCCAAACCCCAAACACCCCCATCCCCCCCCTTCCCCTTCCCCCTTTAGTAAAGGGGTAAATTACCTTCCCTTCCCCCCCCCCCTCCCTTCCCCGGCCCACCCCTCCTTCCCTCCCCTCCCTGACACTGTCCTTGCGAAGCTCTTGCATCAAATCGTCATAGTCTTTGCCAACATGAGCAGCACTTGTCTTGGATTGCCTGGCAAAGAGATGAGATCAAGCTGGCCTATTCAACCTTACTAACTCACTGCTAATAGACTAAGTTACTAAACCCTGAAGAAAACTTATTAATAATAAGGCCTACTAAACTACTAATGACTCAAGTCTAGTCTAAACCTTGTTTACTAAATACGATACTACATATTAATAACCCCAAATTCCCGAAACCTACTAAACCCTAAACCCTAAACTCGAAACCCTCAAAATTTGAACCCCAAACCCTGAACCCTAAACCCTATGCGATGTTCTGCATCAGCTAGGTGGGTGGCAAAAAAAAACTCTATGCGAACTGCGAACATGTCAGAAGCGTGTATCCTATTTGTACCCCGGCCTGCGGTGCTTGCTAGCAAAAGACTTCAGAAGAGTGTTCACATCATCCAAAGTTCGCGTGAAGCCGATGCTGATCTCCGACATCTTTTTCCCACAAACTCGGTTTGAATTGGCACAAATGTTGCAGCAGACAGAAAACATGCCTCTCAAAGTGCAGAACCACAACAGTGCTTGTAGAGCATCCAAAAACCAAGCAAAAATATCAAGACCAGGGGCGAAGCTCGATGAGCTGGCCAATTCGCTTTCGCCAAATGTTGCTCGCTGCTTTGGCCTGTCATTTTTCAGACAACTGGGCTGCAAGTAACCCCCGTAAACATCAGCCAGTCATGTGTGCCTTCTGTATCGATGTTGTTTCCTGATCCTTGTTTCTCTGCCTCTTGAACCGAGCAACAGTCTCCAGCATCAAGGCTTCCTGAGATATGCAAAATTTCACTACAGCTGTAAAACAGAAGAACAGTCACGAGAAGCACATGCCACTGTCACAAGAGAAAAAGGAAGTGAGTGTCTTTGCCAAACAAGACTCATACTCGCCTCCTATCTCCAGCAAATCCGACGGCATAACGAAGCCATAGATAGAGCAGGTGGAGTAGGCAAGCTGTTTCATGGAAAGATCAGGAAGCTTCGCTTGTCCGTCTGAGCGAAGGAACTCCTTCGGGGTGATTCGAAAAATCCCTGCTTTGTCCACCTCTTCCGTGCCAGATTCGTTCATGTCGTCCGACTCCGAAGTCTGCTTGCCTGGCAGTTTAGCGAAGCAGCAAATGACGGAAACAAATCTTCACAACCTTTCACTGACATCAAGTCACGTTTCTTTTTCTTGTCTTTCTTGGCACTCTTCTTCCGGGGACCTTTGCTTTCAGAGTCCATGTCACCTGCCCACAAAAGTCATGTGAATTTGCAAACAGATGTGAGTAGCAAATGAACATGCACAAACAAATTAACCAAAGAGGAGCCCAAGCCTGATAAGGCCTTCTGAAGACGATCCATACCACTCCTCATCAAGAAATCTGAAGCCGAGGGTGCGGAAGACTCGGCACCAGCGTCAAGGGATCGGGTGGATGTTGACCTGACAAGGGCAAAGTTGTAAGGGAGGAGAGATTCGAGGCTCATCCAAGTGAGGGCATTTGTTGTTGTGGGGAAAGACTTGGCTGCTCGTTCAAGAATTGTAAACGTGCAAGAGAAACCACGAAAGAAAAACATGCATTTCTCAGCAAAGAACAAATCATGCATGTGTGCTTACATTGTCTTGAAATCATGCAGGATCTGCTAACAGAATAAGAAACTTTGGCATGCATTGCCGGGCTTATGATTTTTCTGAGTAGCTTTTCTTATCTTGATTATATGCACATTCTGGCATCAACTAAAGTTGATTGTGTCAGGGTCTTATTGTGCTTCTGGAGCATGAGCAAGTTATGGCTACTGGCGAAAAGTCGCCGGACTGAATGTTGTGCTAAATAAAAGAAAATCAAAAGAGAAAGAAAGAGAGAGAGAAAGAGAGAGAGAAAGAGAGAGAGAAAGAGAGAGAGAGAGAGAGAGAGAGAGAGAGAGAGAGAGAGAGAGAGAGAGAGAGAGAGGGAAGAGGAGAGGAGAGAGAGAAAGAGGAGAGAGCAAGAGAGAGAGAAAGAGAGAGAAAGAGAGAGAGAGAGGAGCGACTGAGAGGGAGAGAGGAGAGACGAGAAGGAGAGAGCGAGGGAGAGGAGAGAAAGAGAAAGAGGAGAGAGAGAGGAGAGAGACGAAGACCAGAGAGAGAGAGAGAGAGAGAGACGAGAGAGAGAGAGGAGAAGAAGAGGAAGAGAGGAGAGAAGAGAGTGAGTGAGTGACGTGTGAGCTGAGTGAGTGAGAGAAGAAAGAGATGAGAATTAGAGAGAGAGAGAGAGAGAGAAGAGAGAGAGATGGAGAGAAGAGAGAGGAGAGAGAGAGAGAGAGAAAGAGGGAGGGAGGGAGGGAGGGAGAGGAGAAAGAGAAAGAGAGAGCGAGAGAGGAGAGAGGAGAGAGAAGAAGACGAATGAGGAGAGAGAAAGGGATAGAAGGAGAGAAGAGAGAGCGAGAAAGCGGAGCAAGGAGAGAGAGGAGAGAGAGAGAGAGACGAGGGAGGGGAGAGGTTGACCACCGCAACCCCGAGAGAGAGAGAGAGAAGAGGGGAAGAGGATAAGCGAAAGAGAAAAAAGAAACAAAGAAAGCTAAATAAAAACAGAAAATAAAACAGAGAGGAAAGAAAAGAGAGAGAGGAGGAGAGAGAGAGAGTGAGGGGAGGAGAGAGGAGGAGAGAGAGAGAGAGAGAGGAGAGAGAGGAGAGGAGGAGAGAGAGAGGAGAGGAGAGAGGAAGAACGAGAGAGAGGAAGAGGGAGAGAGGCAGAGACACAGAGAGAAGAGGAAAGAAAGAGCAGAACGATAGAGAAGCAGACAGAGAGAGAGAGAGAGAGACGAGAGAGCGAAGGATAATGACGAGAGAGAAAGAGAGAGAGGGAGGAGCGAGAGAGAGAATTGGAAAGAGGAAGAGAGAAAAGAAAGAGGAAAGAGAGGAGAGGAGAGGGAAAGCGAGCGATGAGAGAGAGAGCGGAGAGAGAGAGAGGAGAGAGATCAGAGAGAGAGGAGAGAGAGAGAGAGGAGATGAGAGAGAGAGAGGAGAGGGAGGAGCAGGATGGAGGGAGAGAGAAGGAGAGAGAGGAGAGAGAGAGAAGGAAAAGGGAAACAACAAAAAAAACAAAAAACAGAGAGCGAGGAGAGAGAGAGAGCATGAGAGAGAGAGAGAGAGAGAGAGAGAGAGAGAAGAGAGAGATTGTGGAGAAGGAGAGAGGGAGTGAGAGGGAAGAGGGAAAGGAGGGGAGAGGAGAGGGAGAGGGAGGAGGCGAGGGAGGGGGGAGGAGGGGAGAGGGAGAGGGAGAGGGATGAGGGAGGGAGGGAAGAGGGAGAGAGGGAGAGGGGAGGGAGAGGGGTAGGGAGAGGGAGAGGGAGAGGAGAGGGAGAGGGAGAGGGAGGGAGGGCGGGGAGCAGAGGGAGAGGGAGAGGGTGGAGGGAGAGGGAGAGGGAGAGGAGAGGGAGAGGGAGAGGGAGAGGGAGAGGGGAGAGGGGAGGGCGAGGAGAGGGGGGAGAAAATGAAGGGGAGGGGAGAGGGGGGGGAGGAGGGGGGGGGCGCGGAGGGAGGAGGGGAGGAGGGGAGGAGGGGAGGGGGGAGGAGGGGAGGGAGGGGAGGCGGGGAGGATGGGGAGTGATGGGGAGGAGGGGAGGAGGGGAGGAGGGGAGGAGGGGAGGAGGGGGAGGAGGGGGGAGGCGGAGGAGGGGGAGGAGGGGAGGAGGGGGAGGAGGGGAGGGAGGGGAGGAGGGGAGGAGGGGAGGAGGGGGAGGAGGGGGGGAGGGGAGGGGAGGAGGGGGAGGGGAGGAGGGGGGGGGAGGGGGGCGGGTTAAAGGAAAAAAGAGTGAAGAAAAAAGAAAGGGAACAAGGGAAGGGAGAGAGAGAAGAGAGAGAGAGAGAGAGAGGAGAGACGAGAGAGAGAGGGAGAGAATCTTCACATGAAATAAAAACAAAGGGCCGCGGGGAGGGGAGGAGAGGGGGAAGGGGAAGGGGAGGGGGGGGAGGGGGGGAGGGAGATGGGTGAGGGGGAGGAGAGGGGGAGGGAGAGCAAGAGAAAAAGCGAGAGCAGGAGTGAGAGTGAGAAAGAGCAAGAGCGAGAGACAGTGAGAAAGAAAGAGACAGAGAGAGCCGGAGAAAAAACAACAAAGACAGAAAGAACGAAAGAAACAAAATGCGAGCACGAAAGAAAGAACGAAAGAAAGAATGAATGAACGAGAAATATAAAGAACGAAAGAAAGAACGACAATAAACGAACGAAAAGAAAAAGAAACAAGAAAGACAGGAAGAACGAAAGAAAGATAGACAATGGAGACCGAGAGAAAAAGAGAGAGAGAGAGAGAGAGAGAGAGAGAGAGAGAGAGACAGAGAGAAAGAGAGAGGGAGGGAGGGAGGGAAAGAAAAAGATAAAGCGAAAGAGAAAAGATAGGAAAGAGGAAAGATAAGGAGTAAAGGTAAAGAGAGAAAGTAAAGAGAGAGAGAGAGAGAGAGAGAGAGAGAGAGAGAGAGAGACAGAGACAAGAGAAAGAGAAAGGTGCAAAGAGAGAGGAAAGAGGAAGGAGAAAGCATAAAGAGGAAAAAGGGAAGAGGAAAAAGGAAAGAAAGAAGAAGAATGAAAATAGAAGAAGAAAGGAAAGGAGTAAGGAGGAAAGAGGAAAGAGAAGGAGACGAAGAGAGAGAGAGAGAGAGTGAGGTAAAGCGACAAAGAGACCAAGAGAGAAAGAGTGAACGTGAAAAAACCAGAGAAAGAGAGAAAGAGATAAAGATAGAATTAGAGAAAGAGAAAATGAGTGAAAGAGAGAAAGAGAAAAAACAAAGAGAGAAAGAGAGAAAGAGGGCAAGAGAGAAAGCAATACATAAATCTATCCCTTACTGGCGAAAAGCTGCCTGGCACATAAATTTGCCATTATCCAATAGGTGGGCGAAACATAAGCTAGTCGCCTTGGCGAGGAACCGCCTGTGTGCTATGATGACAGACTTACTGGCGACTACCCGCCTGGCGAACATTGGCCATTATCATCTCATGGTTGGGCAAAGCATAAGTTTAAGTAGCTCCATAAGTTTAAGTAGCTCCACTGGCGATAAACCGCCTGGCGATAAATCCGCCCTTACTTAATTGTGAATGAATCCGAAGCTTTGGCTCGAAACAGCCACTTACTTACAACTTGATTAGATTGGCAGCTCCAAAACCTGTGTGACAACCCTGGGCTCTTCATGTCAAATTGCATCCAAGTGGCCGAGCAAGTTTGCCACGATCACGAACCATGATAAGGGAGGGCCAGGCAAGGGATACTACGGGCACCCTAGACTAGGATGGAACAGGAAGATATTTAAGTTTACCCGAAGCCTGTACACAACAAATAACACAAATTGTGACCCATTAGTGGGTGTACGAACAGGAGAATTCTTGTTCATTATATTCAAGACAGTACTAGTACTTCATCAGACCCTGAAGCCAGGATGAAGGAGTCAGAAACTTCAATAATGACAGGGTCAATTCACAATTACACACACACACCCAGCAACAGCAATCCCAACTGTTCAGCATCCTGTTTCTCAACCCTAGTTGCTGCGACGATTTCGTGTTCGCTATTCTAATTTCTCGCAAACAGAAGCCAGTGCTGATGCAAATTGCTTGCAATGATTAGCTGGCAAGATCCGGGATAAGCATCCTGGATTGCAAATTGTCCACCATAAAGCCATGCAATGTCACAGATGGCACCTCATGGGTAGTGGAAACATTGTGCTACTACATGCAAGTCAACGAATGTCATCCATGACACAAAGAAAGGCAAACCCCACGGCACAATTTGAACCTGTTCACCTTTCACAAAAAAGGTGCAGTCGAGAAGCTGCATGAATGCTTGCATCAAGCACTCATATCTTGGTCTCCAATCATCGAGGCCTTCGTTGCGGAAAAAAGAAAATATTGCTGCACAAAATGAGATGACTGCCAATCACCACAAAACACCGGTGAGGTGATGAAACTATGGTCTCATGAGAAGAAAGCAAACCCTTTGATTTGAGTGAAGTTAACTTCAAGTCTAGTTGAACTGAAAGGCATCCTCATTGTCCGAATCATGGTTGTTCATCATACCAACAAAGCCCAGAACAGCGACAGGATGATGCGGAGGAAGCAAATCCTGAACCTGGCAAGAATCGAAAGAAGTTTCTCGTTTGAATCAGATTGTATTGACAAGTTGAAGTGAAAAGCCGGCCCTGGCCAAGCTACTTGCAGAGTTGGCAGGGGCACTGGAATCCTCCGGAGTGGTGTGGGGTCGAGATCAACGATCATCAT